ATTTGCGCGGGAGACCAATTGAGCGCGTCCTTATTCGACAAGGTGCTACATTAATCTCGGTTACCTGTTGTCTTAAGGACTCACCCATTCCAAAAGGTTGCTGCTTCGCGTCGCGACGACGTAGACCTTCTCGATAATCTTGGCCGGTATGGGAAAGAGCAGCTGGGAATATTCCACGAAAAGGTCGCAGGTACGTGGATGACCATAAACGAGCACTGGGGAACTCCGAACAGCAGAGCTTTGTGGTCTCTCTGGAGGATGAACAGTCTACTCGGCCGTAAGGCGATCACCGCAGGCTGGAAATCCAAAACACTGCCCCCTTTTCGCCCGGCGTACGAGCTGATGATTGATCTCGTGCTCCCTGCCACCATTCTTGACGGCTTTCGTCTCTTCTGTCCATGCGATACTCTTGAGGACTGGGTCGATTTGTTGTTGGACTGGCAGTCGGTGCGAGACGTGGCAGCGAAGGTGCATCAGCAGCTATGCTCGGCGCGGCAAGTGTCAAAACTTCGACGACAGCCTGCCACGAAACGTGATCCCATCCTGGAAAACATCAGCCTGTTCAACCGCGATGCTCTCACACTGCTGGCGCTCCGAGCTGCTGTCAAGCGCGGGGACGTTGGTGGCGTGTTATGTATCAGCGCTCATTGGATGGTTATGTTCCGCGGCACCGGACACATGCCCAAATATGCCGATGCGGTTTTCCGCGTCTTGACAGAACTGAAGTCGATGCACCCCAAGCTGCGGTATGGCCGTCGTTCCCTTCCCATTTTATTATCTAATTCCATTCTAGCGAGGCGTACCTCATGAACTGGCTCGCAAATCTGAGCGGCAAGCTTCTGCGATTCAAAGAGATGGATCTTGTACAAGAACATCAGAACTTCTGGTTGAAGGTACATACACTCCGAATTTACGGCTATCTGAAACTGGATTCTGATACTGGTTGCAGGTCATTTATAACGCGAAAGGATCCAACCGAAGCTGGGAATGGCTCGGGATGATCTCTGTCTCAATATTCGCACTCCGAGATGTGATTCGGCGGGTGCAGTTGGACTACAAAATCGTCCACAACGGCGAGACACACACTAACCCGTCGAAGACCGAGGATGTTCGCGCTGTCTCATTCTGTCCCGAACGTGTAGATAATGATTTGGTGCTCCCGGTGCGCGATCTCATGGAGGTTGGAGCAGCATACGCAAACACTGCGCGGGCCTTCAAAACCTTTCGTCCAGACACCCGTAGGGCCGTGAATCTTGGAACCGCAAATGGTTTGTCCAACCCCGTTGAAGATGAAGAAGACGACGAGATTGCGAACCATGACAACTACGGCCAAGACCTTGATCTTGACCTTGGTGACCTGGCCTTAGACGAGGAAGAATTCCCCGCCGGAATTGAGGTGTCTGATTTTGTGGCGATGGCTACCGAGGCAATCATGGCAATGGAAGAATTAGAATGTAGATAGTCAGCAATAATTAATATAATCTTGGTTCTCTAACCTCGAGCAACTCCCCGATGTCCACCCGAGTTCTTATTCCTGACCCTCTTCCGCGACCCCTAGCTGCTGGTTCTTCGTAATCATCATCGTCGTGGGGTTCTCGGCGAGCAGTACTTCGTGTTCTGAGAGTTGTACCGGCATAGAACGACGCTGGGGCGATTTCAGATCCTACAGGAGGTAAGTTCGCAATTTGTTCGCGCTCTGCCTCTACAGTTGCATCGTGACCCTCGTAAATCTTTTGAAGCTCCCGAAACAGGGCCTCTCCGTAAGCCGAAAGGTCAGAGGTTGAACCCTGGAATCCGAACGCCCACCGGGTGTAACGTCGCAAGTCTGGTGCCGCCTCGACACGTTCCCTGACTAGCTATTCAATTACGTCGTCGCCAATCCATGAGACCCGCTCGAATGGAATTGGCAAGCTCTCCATTCATCTCCTTCTTACGCCCCCGCTTGAGGCCAGGTATTTTGTCCAGTTTGATTAACTCGATTTCAATTGTTCTGCACCTAATTCAGCAATCGCTATTACAGAGAAAATAGATCACCTACCTTTGGAGTCATTCTCGAAGAACAGATCCCAGACCTTTCGCCGACATTTTGTCGTACAGACAAACCGTGATAGAAAGTCGGCTTCACGGCTGTTGCACTCTTTTGAGAGTTTCTTGCGGTGTTTGTGCTTGACCTGGGCCGTCTCCCCGTCATCATCATCGCTATCTGCCCCTGCACGGCAAGGGGTATCCGCCGGAAGATGCCGAGACACAGCCTCAGAGGTAGGTAGGGGTCGGCCACCCCTTATTTCACTTTTCGGACAATGTTTGCAAATGTGCTGAAAACACGTTTGGAAAGGTTTAGAAAAAAATCCGGATTTCTTTCGGCTATAGCACTGAAAAATCGCTGATCTGAGCAAGATCTGACGCCAAACAAGAACCGCAGTCAGTATCATGTCATAACATTGGCACCGCCTCTGAAAATTTTCACCCACGTCAAGACGTACTTACGTTTGACTTACGTCGCGGCCATCATGCCGTCGATTATGCTCGCCCACTTGGCAAGACTCTACCTGCACGTCCTACGCTTCTTCGGTCTCGTCCTGAGGCCGTGGGCTTTCACCGGCTGCGTTGGGCACTTGTAAATGCAATGCTCTTCCTGCTCCCATTTCTTGCAGAGATAGCAATACTTGTGCTCCAAAAGGTCGCGTAAATAGGCTTCATTTATCTTAGTGTCGTTTTTTATCAGTCTTGTAATTTTGGCTCGCGTTCCTGGACGTACCGGCCGCCTACTCTGAGAAATTCGGTAGAAATACACTAGGAACAAACTAGGAATAGCCGGATTTGTGACATTACGTAATGCTGTGCTCTTCGGCTAAGAGGTAGCTAGGGGTCCAGAGGGTCTTATCGCACTTTTCCGACCCTGTGTGGCAAATTTTAGTAGTGAATACCCCTTGCTGCACGGACACCCCCTTCCCAACGAGGACCTCCTCGCGCCCATATGTCAGCTCAATTCCCTCCTCCAACAAGTCAGCAGCTACGTCCAAACCCCTGTTTGCGGACTCTGCGTGTTGCGCGGTGTTGTGATAAGCGAGGGGAGGGCGAGATTAGCGGATGAGTTAGGGTAAGATTGCAATAGCACTGTTGGTTGGAAAGCTGCTTTAGAGCAATCAGATGCTCTAGCAGGATTGTCCAGTGAGCTTATATACTACAGGAATTGTATCTAGAATAATCTACGTGTATCTACTTGAATTGTTCATTAGTAATGATCTTATCAATCAATGCCCGAAGGCCGAGCTGCCTATTAATAATTACAACACGCGGCCTCGCCGACGGCCACCTCGATCTCCTCTTCCGAAACCCGATTCTTCATGACGCTGGCAGGAACAATTAAAATTGCTTGACCCAGCTTGGAGAAGTCGCGTGTTGCGCGACCTGCGCGCTGAACAAGAGCACAGAAAGACGGGGGAAGGCCCCATAGAATGACTCGCTCGATGTTCCTCATGTCGCACCCCTCATTTGCGTCAGCTGAGTCGTTGCACAACAGTTAAATTCACGCACCATTCCCACAGCATCAGTGCAGAATAGAATTCGAATTTCTCCCTTACAGAGACGCTCCTCTAGATGCTGTTTCTGAGCTTGTCCGATTTTTGCGTGGTAGAAGGCGATGCAATCCTCGGGGATGTTCTCATCTCGAGCCCATCCTCGAAGCGAGTCGCAGGCATCTTCGCATGTCAGATGCTGGTTGCGCGTGACCGGTGTAGAAGTTGGGTTGGTCTGGGGGGTAGACCTAAGTGTGAAGGTCGTGTATATACCCTAGGCTGCAGACTTGAAACAATAGACGAGATTTATGACACTGGGAAGCGACTCAGCTTTGGAACGATAACTCAGTGACTCTCTGGCCCGTCTCTAGACCACTCGTGCTCGATAAGATAGACAAGGTAAGCTCAGATTCGAACAGAGATGATGGGGGAAGGGAAGAGGAAGATTCCCCTGTTTCAATTGGTAAGGCTTTATATACTACGATCGGGGTGGCTGAAACGCGTTCTCCTGCGTCACCAGAGCCCATGGAGACGAAATACAAACGGTCTGCTATGTAAGAGTCCATGGAAAAATAAAATAACCATACTAGAAGCTAACCACCTCAGAGAACCCAAGCCAACCGGGTAATGCACAAAGACGGTATAGGGAGACAATGTTCGCCGCTAAACGTCTGCTGTTGGTTGACCAAGCCTCCAGCGTGTCGATCCCAAGTGCACTCCGAGTTGACCGGGTCGTCCAAGATGGTGTCGCAACCAGAAGGTTGTACAACACGAGCGGTAAGTAAAAGAGGAAACTGATGGATGAAGAAATAAGTATCGATCAAGAAAATGCGTGTATGTGATCGGGGGAGATGTGATAAAAGAGACAGCGTGCCGTCCGATCTTTCAGCTTGGTATAATCGCTTGGTATAATCGCGTGGATGAGCATCCGAGTAAGTTTGTCGTCACGGACACGTGATCGTCGTGAGCGCGTGAGCTTTGTGCGCGTCGCGTGGTATTTGGCCGAGGAGCGGATAATCTGTAAGAAAAGAAAGAGAGAGAGGAAAGGTGAGACATTCACAATGTAGAGATGAGTTAGGAAATGGATGGCTGTTAATGCCCGAGGAGGAGCTCATTCGCATCTCCTTGTGAGGTATATGCGACGAGCGTGCCGATAGGCACTTCCACAGAGGGGGGTACTTGGGATTTCGCCCTCGGAATCCCCGAAAATTAAGGAAGCAAGAGTGTAGGATGGATAGGATGAGGCGAAAGAGGGAAAATGGAAGGGAGAGTAAAAAAATGGAAAACTCAGCAGTCTATGGAAGGCGGAATGAAAGAGAAGCGAGACTGATCGGGCTCTTGATCTGCGATCTGCAGTGATTGACAGCGGAAGCGCGGATGACAGCTGAAACATGGATGACACCGGAAGCAAAATGAAACCAGACGCAGCCGAAACCGAGTCTCATCGAGGATAAAGGAGGATTTATTACTTACTTTTACTAATGCCTTGACTGGGAGTCGAACCAGGGACCTTCAATATTGAAGGATAACGCGACAAAACCACTACACCACGGGGCTTTTATTATAGAAGTCCCTTGGTTGGGTTTATCATACAACCCTGTTGCACACATCAATTGAAAAAAAAAAACAGCAAGGCGACAAGTATTCTAGGGATGTGCGCCGCCGTGTCTATCATCCATTACACAACAAAATAATCAGGTAGCCCGTCCCTTCCCTTTTCGACGTGTTGTCGGGCCTGAGGTTTGTCCTTCACCACTGTCAGTCTGTGCTCCACCACGGCGTCTACCTCTACCTCTCGCAGCCAACTGTTCAGCATCAACCTCGGGTTGGATCACTTCGGATAGCGGTGGCACCTCAACGGGTGGTGGCGGCGGCACGTCGCGGACTTGACGTGGTTCATGATGGGGGCCCGCAACAGGTGCCTGGATCGTAGCCGGATTGGTAAAGCCTAAGGTGCCGTCGCCAAGGGGTGCCGCCAGGTGCACTTCTCGATAAGCCGGATCGGGTATGGCGAAGGGCTTCAATGATGGTTCAAAGCATGAAGATATAGCAAAGATGATGCTTTTTGTTGCTCACAATGTACTTCTTGATGACGCTGGCATTTTGCTCTTACAATGCCTTCGAAGTTATCTTGAGTTGGACATGTATGTTGCTCTCCAAATTCACACTTCGGAGACTATTGCTGCTGGGCGGCGTGAACTTCTCATTTTTGATTCCTTGATGAAGGTCCGGTGTGGTTGGTCATTCCAGTCAACCTCATCGGGACTGCGCATTTGCCGTGGAGAACCAGGAAGAGGACGGACTTCGGGGCATGAGTGTCGTGCGCGTTCAGCTTTTCTTTTCCTTCACTCACGATGGCGTTGATTATTCTTGCGCGCTGGTCGAGTGGTTTAAAAAAGTCGGCAGGTCTCCCGATATCGAGACTGGTATGTGGATCATCGAGCCCTAGATGAAGGGGCGCGCACGACTCACCACTATTGTTCACCTGGACACCCTTCTCCGTGGCGCCCATCTCATTCCTGTATATGGGACTAGCCACATTCCAGTTGGTTTTCATTATATTCATTCTCTCGATGCGTTCAAATCCTTTCATGTAAATAAATATATAGACCATCATGCGAATGAGATTGCATTTTAGCTGCTAGTACACTGTCGAGGACAAGTCGATGAAATTTGGAAGTAGATTAAGACTGAGTAGCACAGAGAGGTGTTTCCCCCGGCCGAATACGCTACCTTACAAAGCTCAATCTCTGACATGGTCACGGCGCTCGACCTGGCATGCCATGAGTCAATGGATCCCCCCGACGCTCCTCCGTTAGTTGTTGCTCGCCGTGTTCGAACAGGCCGACGGGGTCGCCCACGGGTGGAGTTTAATACTCAATTTCTCGGCGAGGCACTGGACCTCCGGGGGCCCACCGGCATTGCACCCGAGATTGGTGTCAGCACTCGCACTGTCCGGCGTGCGGCTTTGCGAGCCGGGCTAGTTCAGCCAGGAGCGCCGGTTTTCCGCTCTCAGATTAATGCTAACGGCCTTGTTGAGCACGTACATTCATCAACAACTCCTCCAGTTTCCATCATCTCAGACGCCGAGCTCGATCAGCTCATTGCCGCGACTCTCGAGATTTTTCCTCAATTCGGGCGACGAATGATTCGAGGCCACTTGAAATCTCAAGGTTACCGCATACCTCGTGAGCGTATCACCGCCTCGTACTTGCGTGTTCACGGCGCCCCTGCCATCTTTGGTGATCGCCAAATCAGTCGTAAAAATACCGTGTCCCAGGACCGATGTCTTTAGCGCATGTGGATGGCCAGCACGGTCGGCTTCGTGTATTTTGTTATCTCGCACTATGCTCACTTGTTCGGCAGGGCTAATCCGTTACAAAATTGTCATACACTGCTTCATCGACGGCTACTCCCGGTTTGTTCTGGGAATTCGTGTGCATGACAACAATCGAGGGGCAAGCGTCCTGCAACTCCTCATGGATGTTGTCGCAACACACGGTTGTCCAAGTCGCATACGCGCCGATCATGGCGTCGAGAACATCGAGATTGCCATTTATATGGAAGAGGTATGGGGCCCCGGCCGTGGGTCGTTCATTTGGGGGAGGTACGTGGAATTGTTACATCGCAGCCCTCACCAGGATTTATGTTTCTATGTAGAAGTGTTCACAATACCCGGATCAAGCGTCTTTGGTACGACGTCACACACGGGTTTGGCAAGAAATGGAAGGTATTTTTCCTGGACCTCGAGGCCAACCACGGCCTCAACCCTACTCGTCCGGGCCATATCTGGCTTCTTCACCACCTTTTCCTTTCATCCATCAACCGTGATGCTCAAGACTGGGCAGAAGCGTGGAACTCACACCGGCTCACCATTCGCCGGCAGCGTGAGCGCAGTCCCCGCGATCTTTTTCTCTTTGGAATGCTTCGCCAGGGACCTCGTGGCATCTCCTCCTTCTTGACGCCCGAGGAAGAAGAAATCGAGGATATTAATGAGTACGGCGTCGATTGGGAGGTGACCAATGAGCCGGAGCTTATTGCTCATCTGCTTGAAAATAACCCCCACGAGCGCACCTCTAGCAATGACCCTTTCGCATCAGCCAGTACGCCCGCGAACCTCTCTGAGGTTCTATGCGAACCGCCAGACTGCCCCTTTACTCCTGCGCAGCTTCAGCTTCTTGACGAACATCTCAGCACATCCGTCGATTTATTCTCACGCAACATGAATGTACGTAGAGTAGTTTGGGTGCGTGCACTGGACATTGCACGCCGTATCCAACAGGGCGACATTATTTAGACTTCACTTGTATCTATTTCCATCCTCCCGACGACTTCAAACCGCTCCCTGTGATATTGACCTTGAGTAATTTCAGAGCTGTGATAAAAGAGCATGCGCACAGGAAAAGAGCAAGCCATTTATCCAACACATCCAACTCCGTCTCCGAAAGGAGCGAGTATCCCCTGACATTGGCGTCTTCCGGGAGGTTGCTGCATTTTGTCAACGTATACGAGATATCCTTTGCTGCCCAGCTTTTGAATTCTCCGTCGTTTGTCAGAAACTCGGCCAAGGTTGTCACATTAAACACATAGTCTATCAATGAAGTCGTCGGTGTGAATGACCTGAATCCAACCGCGGGCACTCGGTGCGCTCGCGAACGGGTCCATCAATGTACTGAGAATCGTAGCCGGCAGGGGATACATAGTACGGGACATGCTGATATGAGATAAGCTGAGCTTAGTGTTGCCACGGTTCGGCTACGGCTGGCTCCCGAGCCGAGCTGACTAAAGCCGGCTTAGACCGGCTGGCTCATGCTACAACCTACAGGAACAGTAGTTTTTCATCCCCGCCTCTCGTTGAGAGAGCCACTCGGGGCTGCACACCGTTGTGAGGATTGCACGCAGATCGGCGGGGCCGGCGGTGCAGCTGCGGAGCAGCGCAGAGGCGACGAGACAGGATCAGTGGCTGTGCAGGGTGTTGTTAGTGTTTCTCTGTCATCCTTTCTCTATATTCTCCAGTCATCAATTTCCCGTCGTCTGCTCTCGACGTACCAGTATGTCTTTCTCTCTCTGACGACGGCTGGCTGTACTGACAATATCAGTGTCCTTGGCCAGGGTGGACGAGACCCCACAAACTGAAGACGATGTTGTTGACCTAGGTTTCATCCTGAAAACAGCAGTCCCTGTGCGTCCTTCTCCGTTCAATATTCCGGGTCTCTGAAATTAGAAATGCAAGGCTTTTCCCAGCTTCCAATATGGGTATTTCTACGGAACCAACTGTGATTCACGACGAGTGGTGCCTGTACCCATGGACTATGGTGTCTTGAAGCCAGCATCTGTGAACGATCTTTTCACGGAGTGCTGGGTGCCGTCGTTCCAAGCTCCCAATGTGATAGGTTCCCTTCCTACGTCCGTTTGCGTTGCTTAAACCCGAATTGTCTTCGTATAATCTGTTTTACAGGTGGATATTGGGGGATGCGTGCCGGGGGATCCCTAACTTCCCGAAGGGGACTAAAGGTATCCAGGCCGATTTCTGGTCACATACCCCTCCTAGGAGTCATGAGGTGAACGACGAGAATTATACCATAAATTATGGCGACGGTGGCTTGGCCCGTGAGCTTTTTTTAAATTCTTGGGTGACAGCCTCTTCTTCAATTCTTTTGCAGATTACAGGCTCTTTAGTGACTTTGTGCACCTACCTCCTTTTCAACTGAAGGATGGTCCTCAGGAAAATTCGAATCAAGGATGGTTCAATTTTATCTTCGGGGTCGCCTACGATGTTTCAAAACATTTTGAGCGCGTACCTCATTCAGGTATCCTTGGTTTGGGTCGGAGAAGGTCCGGTATCTCTTATCAGAGATTGCATCGAGCTTGCTGATCCGCCCCAAGGGCATTTGATTCCAACGAGCTCTCTGAGCCGCTTGTCAGTAATTTTTTTTTTTTTGGTTGAAACATAATTCCAACTATAATGAACAAATCTTTTAGACATTCCTCGAGCAAGTGCGCGGCATCCTGGTAAGAGGCACAATCACGCAGTTTATTTTGATGTTCAGATATTTGGTCCAAGGAAACCCCAGCGATCACTATTTTATTAACAGATATCCGGGGGTTTGTTATCGTCCAGGGTTCTGCATGCCTTCAGAAAAACTTAAATTATATCAAAGGTACATCACTTTCGGGAAAAGAACTGTTTTTCCTGAGACGCAACACCCCTGGTGCACGTACATTCCCGTTGTCGGGGAGCAGTGGACGGTGGCGAGCACTAAGAAGGAGCTAAATGGAGAAGAATATATTTACATCGGCGGCGAGGCGGTGATACGCCTACGGCGCGGCTGCAAGCGGGAGCTAAAACAAACTATAAAACTGGGTGATTGGTATGCTCGGACCGCTTGGAGGGCCGTAGAACAGGTGTGTGTTGTGCGAGGGCGTTCTGCGAAAGCTTATCAGCTCGTTGCAGGTTAAACACAGAATGCGTGAGGTAATTGTGGCAGCAACGACGAAGGCGTATCATATTTGGAGCCCACCGCGATACGCCTACGGCGCGGCTGCAAGCGGGAGC